GGAAATGTAGTTCACGCGCCACGTTGCGCTCGGCTCCGCGACGGCGCGGGGTGTCGCGCCCGCACGGGCGCCGGGGCTTCTGCGGGCCGCCGATGGCGGGGACCGAGGGCCAAAGGGAGGTCCTCGCTAGCCGGCCACCGGGCACTGCTGCTAAGGCGGCCGGAATCCGTCCACAACGCTGCGAATTATTATCCCGAGAGCACACTCTCATGGGCACGATAAGTTAAGCATTCCACCAATATTGACTCCAGACCTACTGTGTGCCAGGGGATCCAGCTCTGAGTCGACATAAGTAGAAGAGCACCTACCCTCACATGCAATCGGGTGAACAGGCGTCTTTTTACTTCACCAGGCCGAACCAATGGTTGGCTCTTGGGTTACTGCTGGAGGACCCATTGTCATTGAGTTAATTTTGACTCGGCTCCCTAGACTGGGTTTCGGAGACTGTAAATCTCTAACGGAGCAGTAGTCGTCGTTCTCCCCAATACCTTGAAAAGGGCCCTCTGATCCATATGGGGGAATTTGAGGGGACCATCTAGAGGTCTCTCACAGACTTGAAGGATAAATTGGATTTAACCCGAATATCCAAGATGTTTTTTGTTTCTCTGTTATCTGCCGCCTTCAACCCTGTATTCTAAAATCAGACATCCGCTTTCTCAGACTGTTCACTCCATTTCTAATTACGAATGTTACAGATTCCTCAGGATAGAACAATAATAATCATCAATATAATTAACACTTGTATAGTGACAGACCAAAATGTCTTGGACGAAGTTCTGCCAGAGCGCTCCTTAGAGGCAATGATGGTGAGGCTTCGTCTTACGTACTTTGGACATGTTGTCAGGAGAGACCAGTCCCTGGGGAAGGACATTTTGTTTGGTGAAGTGGAGGGGCAGCGAAGGCGAGGAAGGCCCTCAGGAAAATGGATTGGCACCGCGGCTGCAGCCATGAGCTCAAGAACAGGAACAATGGAGGGCCAGGCATTGTTTCATTCTGCAGTGCTTAAGGTCGCTGTGCATGGGAACCGACCTGAAGGCTCTTAACAACAACAACGACATATATGCTCTCAAAAAAAAAATGAAAAAACGATGTGCGGAGAGGAGAAGGTTAAGGTTTGCAGTTGGGTCTTCCAAATACTGCACCTATTTAAATTTAAATTAATTCAATGAAATTAAATTTCAGCTTCTCAGTCACATGAGGCACATTTTAAGGACTGAGTAGCTGCTACTGCTGTCTAGTAGCTACTGTATTGGACAGCAAAGATATAGAACATTCCAACCATTGCAGAGAATTCTACCAAATAGCACTTGCTTCTAAAAGTTAAGTGCTCAAGGTTCCTTGGCTTGTCATAAGTAGACCTGCCTCTCCTGCTTTCAAATCTGAGTGTTCTGCAACACCTTCCTAGTTGAAACCTGTGTTTATGTAACCTCCATCTTAGGACATACAAAAAACATCTCTCTCTTCTACATGATACTCTTCAAATATTTGGGAAAGACATGTGGCATGGTTTCTCACTTCCCTCCCATCTCAATGATCTGAAAATGTGCCAATATTCCATATAAAAAGTGCCGTGTCTAAAGGTGTGTGAAAATCAGATGGCTCTTGGAAAATAGGTTATCTTAAACTTAACCAGGCAGGAGGCATTAAAAGAAGATAGGAGGAAAACACAATTACTGTACCGGAAAGCATTGGCCAATGTTCAACCATTTCAAGAGATAGTATATGATTGCAAACCAAAAGTTTTGAAAGAAGTTTAATTACACTGAAAGCATTAGTGAAAAATAAGGCTCCAGGAGTTGATGGAATGCCAAATTGAAATGTTTCACTACGCTGACGAAGCACTGGAAGCACTCACTGGTCTATGCCAAGATTTGGAGATACCTCGCTACCTGGCTGACTGGAAGAGATAACTACTTGTGGCTATATCAAAGAAAGATGACACAAGAGAATGCAGAAATTATTGAAGTATAATTAATAGCACATACAAGTACGTTTTTACTGAAGCTCCTTTAAAAATGGCTGTAACAGTACATCAACAGGGAGCTGCCAGATTCATAAGAGAATATGGAACCAGGGTCATCATTGCTGACATGGATCTTGGCTGAAAACAAAGAAGTCCAAAAAGATGTTTGTGTTTTCTAGACTATGTAAAGGCATTTGAGTGTATAGATCATAACAAACGATGGATAATATTAAAAAGAATTGGGAATTTCAAAACACTTCATTGTGCTCGTGCAGAACTGCACATGGACAAAGAGGTGGTCATCCCAACAGAACAAGAGAATGCTGCATGGTTTGAAAACAGGAAAGGGGTGTGTTAGGGTTGTTTTCTTTTGCCATACTTAGTATGCTAAACTATGTGAAGAATATGCTATCATTCTTGAGGAAGGCTTACTTACGAACAACCTGTGATATGCACATGACCCAAATTTGCTTGCTGAAAATGAAGCAGACTTGAAGCATTGCCGCTGATGATTGAAGACTGCAGCCTGCAGTATGGACTGCAGCTCATTGTAAAGGGAACAAAAAGTTTCACAATTGGACCAATGGACAGCATGATAACAAGGAGAAATGATTAAAGTTGCCAAGGGGTTCATTTTGCTAGGGTCCACATGCAATGCTAATGGGAGCAAAACCAAACAAAACGCACTGCCATTGAATGGAATCCTACTCAATGACCCAATAGCAAGCCCTGATAAGTTAGATGTTGGGCAAGAACAGCAAGACTTTGGCTTGCATACTTTGGACATATTATTAGAAGAAACCAGTTCCTAGAGAAAGAGATGATATTTGGCAAAGTAGAGGTCCTGCGTAGGGGAGAAAGACTCTCAAGGAGATGGATGGCCACCATGGCAGCAACAATAGGCTCAAGCATAACATTTGTGAGACTGGCTCAGGACCAGGGCAGTGTTCCATTTTATGGTGCGTGGCGATGCTGTAGGTCGGAACGGACTCAACCTACAGCACCTAACAACAGCACAGTTCTGTAGGTCCATCCATGTTATGCAGTGTAGCACAGATTCATAATTATCCTTTTTAAAACTTTTAAGTGTGAATTAGCCAGGAGTTTACATATCAGATTATCATTTTGCATTCAACAACTTAAACAACTATGCAAACCTCCCAGTGGCTTGCCCTGTTCCCCTGTTCTTTGTTTGCTTGTTTGTTGTCTGCCATCTCCCTTTTGTAGAATATTCCCTTGCCCTTCACTCACATTAACACTCGTCCACTCTCTAGTTCATTACTATCCCTTCTGTTAGTCTGGGTAGACTACAGAAACAAATTCATAGACACTCATATGTATATAAGAAAGAGCTTGATAAACAAGACCAATTAAATATTGAGAAAGCATCCCAGCCCAGTCCATAGCAAGTCCATAAGTCCGAGATTAGTCCATATGTCTGATACCGATCTGTAAATTCCTCTTCAGACTCATGCAACACATACAATGACGCCAAATAAAGGAAGATCACAGACCAGTGGGTGGAAAGTCTTGTGGATCCAGTGGCAGTGGAAAGCATCTCAGCGCTGGCAGGGGTCTCCTGGGCTCTAGCATAGCTCCATGTGTTTTCTCACCAGGAATGTCTCCCAGCAAGTGAGCCTGTGTGCTGCCTCCAGCGAGCTATTTATCTCCTTAACGCCTCCAAATGAGGTCATTAAATTGCAATCTGATTGACAGGCTAAACTCCATCCCTTCACTCTTAAATCTCAAATTGACAACAGATTATGTAACTACTACAGCTTCCATCATTTCCAGTCCATTTCTTCTCCTCCCACACCTGGTAGCCACAAAGTCTGTTACTTTTTGTATGAAAATCTTTATCTTTGTTTATTGAAATAACATGCAGTGTTTGTCCTTTTGTGATTGCCTAGGCTCACTCAGCATAATTTCCTCCAAATTCATCCGTGTCATGAGGTGTTTCAAAGATTCATCACTGTTCTTTGATGGTGTGTAGTATTCCATCGTGTGTATGTACCAGCATTTATTTATCCATTCTTTGGCCCTTGGCCATCTAGGTTGTCTCTGTCATCTTGTTACGGTGCTGCGCAGACCGTGGGTGTGCCTATTTCTGCTCATGTTGTGTATATTTCCTTAGGGTATGGACCAAGTAAAGGCCATATGATGTTTCTATTCCCAGCTGTTTGAGAAAGCACCTACTGCTTTCCATGGTGGTTGTGCTTTTACAGCCCCATCAGCCGTGGACGAGGACTCCAATTCCTCCATGCCTTTGCCTGCATTTGTTATGTTCTGATTTTCAAACTTTGCTATCAATATTGGTGTGAGCTGGTATCTCCCCGTGTTGATTTGCACCTCTCGAATGGCTAGTGACCTTAAGCTTTTTTCATGTTTGTTGGCCACCAGTATGTCTTCCTTGGTGAACTGTCTACCCAAGGCCTCTGCCCATTTTTAAATTGGTTTATTTTTTTTTTTTTTGCTAAGCTGACAATTATTCCTTAATCTGGGTAGTACTCCATTGTGGTTATATATCAGTTTATTTATCCAGTTATCCGTTGCTGGGCAATTAAGTCGTTTCCACAGTTCTGCTGCTGTGAATAAGGCTATGATGAACATGTGTGTGCATTTTTCTCTTCATGTCATAGCACTTCTTTCTCTAGG